TTTTTTCATTCTCTTTACGCGACGAAAAAATAATGGTCGTGCAAAGTGACTTTGCACGACGAAACATATTGGTCGCGCAAAGTCTCTTTGAGCAACGAAAATATTGGTCACGCAAAGCGACTTTGCGCGACGAAAAATATTGGTCGCACAAAACTTTGCGCGACGAAAAAATTTTTTTTTAAAAAAATTCCCACGTCCTATTTTTGGTACCCGCCCAAATTTTTAGAGTTTTGCACGACGAAAAATATTGGTCGCACAAAACTTTGCGCGACGAAAAAATTTTTTTTTAAAAAAATTCCCACGTCCTATTTTTGGTACCCGCCCAAATTTTTAGAGTTTTGCACGACGAATATTAATGTCGCGCAAATATTTGCGCGACATTAATATTCGTCGTGCAAAACTTTGCACGACCAATACTCCAATATTTTTCGTCGCGCAAAAATTTCAAAATTTGGGCAGGTACCAAAAATGGGAGGCGGGATTTTTTTTTTTGACTTTTCGCGACCAATATACTAATATTCGTCACGCAAAACTTTGCACGACCAATACTCCAATATTTTTCGTCGCGCAAAAATTTCAAAATTTGGGCAGGTACCAAAAATGGGAGGCGGGATTTTTTTTTTTTTTTTTGACTTTGTACGACCAATATACTAATATTGGTCGCGCAAAACTTTGCACGACCAATACTCCAATATTTTTCGTCGCGCAAAGTTTTGCACGACGAAAAATATTGGAGTATTGGGCGTGCAAAGTTTTCCGCGACGAATATTAGTATATTGGTCGCGAAAAGTCAAAAAAAAAAAAAAAAAATTAAAAAAAAAAAAATCCCGCCTCCCATTTTTGGTACCTGCCCAAATTTTGAAATTTTTGCGCGACGAAAAATATTGGTCGCACAAAACTTTGCGCGACGAACGACATTGTTGGTCGCGCAAAGTTTTGCACGACGAAAAATATTGGAGTATTGGTCGTGCAAAGTTTTGCGCGACGAATATTAGTATATTGGTCGCGCAAAGTCAAAAAAAAAAAATCCCGCCTCCCATTTTTGGTACCTGCCCAAATTTTGAAATTTTTGCGCGACGAATATTAGTATATTGGTCGTACAAAGTCAAAAAAAAAAAAATACAAATTTATAAAAAAACCCAATCCTAGGCATGTATTTATAAAAAAACTCAAGCACTATTTAAACATAGAAACACACCCAAAACCCATCATAACAAACACTCAAAACTCATTTATAAACACACCCAAAAAGTTGACTTTGAGGTTGATTTTGGGTGTGTTTCTATGTTTAAATAGTGCTTGGTTGGGTTTTTTTATAATTTCAACCTCCATTTTGGATGTTTTAGTGAAACTCCCAAAAAAAAATCCCTCCTCCCATTTTTGGTATCCGCCCAAATTTTGAAATTTTTGCGCGACGAAAAATACATATTGGTCGTGCAAAGTCTAAAAAAATTATATAAAAAAATTCCTACGTCCCATTTTTGGTACCCTCCAAATTTTTGCGCGACGAAAATATATATTGGTCGCGCAAAGTCTAAATTTTTTTTTTTTTTCATCCCGCATCCCATTTGGTACCCGCCCAAATTTTTAGAGTTTTGCATGACGAATTGTTGGTCGCGCAAACTTTTGAGAGACGAAAAATTGGTTCGTAGCACGATATTTATAAAAATAATTGTTATGAATAATAAAATTATTATTTTTACGATTTAAAATATAAATAAGGTTAAAGCTACTTAATAAATGTATATACCAATTTCTTAAGTGTTATACGTACAAAATAAATAAATTTAAAGCTACTTAATAAGTAAATAAATAAATAAATATATATATATATATACACACACCATTCAACGATCCAACCGTCAGACTTGTTTGTATATACTTCAAGATCGTATACCCCAAAAATCGTAAAAAACAAACATTCGGAGACCTAGTAACTGGACAAAAAATTTCAACGGTTCTTAATGAAAAATCACGATTTAACGGTTATTTTAACTCCGATTTTGATGATTTTTTACAGCTACACTCCTTGACCCTATATGAATACAATGAACTAATTCGATCGTCAATTTAAAATATTTACACTAGTGGATACCACAAAATCTTATGTTATATTTAACAAAAGTATAAATAAACTCTTAATTGTTAGTGAATAT